GTGGGGGGCCCCGGCGTGGGAGCCCCGCCAGCCACTGCACAGACAGCGGGGAGGGAGTGGGCATGCCGCTGCTGTACAACACCTCGTACACCATGCAGGTGAGTCTAGGAGGGAAGTCCAGGAGAGCCTGGGAAGGGGCAGCTAGGCCCTGGAAAGAGAGGTGAACCATGCAACTGGCAGGGCCCCTAGAAGGACATCCAGCTCCTGTAGCCCCCACAGCTCTCGTCCCTGCTGTCCCTGCAGGCATGCCTGATGTCCTGTTTCCAGCAATTAATGGTGGAGACTTGCTCCTGTGGCTACTACTTCTACCCCCTGCCGGCTGGGGCCCAGTACTGCAGCTATGCTCGCCATCCCGGCTGGGGTAAGCTACACCCACTACCCACCAGCTGGAGCCATGGTGGGCTGAGGGGGCGGATGCCATGTGGGTGACTTGAAGCGGGTGTGATTCTTGGGGCAGGGTCACATAAGTCGCTCCTGGTAGATTTACCTGTGACCATGCTCCCTATAGGTCACTGCTTCTACCGTCTCTACCATGACCTGGAAACCCACCAGCTCCCCTGTGCCTCCCGCTGCCCCAGGCCTTGCAGGTGATGAGAGGCATTGGGGTCAGGGGTCAGGAGTCACTGCCCTAGGTCACCCAACAAGGTGTAACGGGCGGGTCTGTCTCTCTCAGGGAGTCTTCCTACAAGCTATCCGCAGGGACATCCAAGTGGCCTTCTGACAAGTCTGCAGTGAGTCCTCTGAAGGGAAAGGTGGAGGGGCACATAACCAGGCAGACCTCACGAGTTACACGGAGCCCACCGGAGACAGGGGCAGGGCTGGGGCTAACCCAGCCTGCAGCCCTGTGGTCTCTTCCTCACACCCATCCATGTTGGTGGGAGGGATGGCCACAGAGAGCCTTCTGTGTGCAGGACTGGATCCTGGCTGTGCTTGGTGAACGGAGGAGCCCTTGGAGCCAGAGCCTGAATCGGAGCAAGAGGTGGGTGCACCTTCCCCTTCCAATGGGTATATCCTGGCCCCTCTCCTGCCACCTCATCTCCAGTACCCCCCGGTGGTGATCTTCAGCCTAGCCCCCTCACGCCTCTGTCCCCACTCAGGAGCAACATGGCCAAAGTGAATATCTTCTACAAAGAGCTCAACTACCGGACTGTGGATGAGGTGCCTGTGTACTCGGTGAGCTGGCTGCAGGCACCCAGGGCCTGGGCTGGAGTGAGGGCAGGGCTGGCAGCTGACCACACCCCCTGGAAGTCCTACAAGAGGGTGCACAGGAGTGAGTCCTGCCTGGCCACTCACTGCCCCCCAATGCTGCAGGTGCCACAGCTGCTCTCGGCCATGGGCGGCCTCTGGAGTCTGTGGTTTGGCTCATCTGTCCTGTCTGTCCTGGAGCTGCTGGAACTGCTGCTGGATGCCACGGCTCTCGCCCTGCTTTTGGGCTATCGCCGGCTCTGCAGGGCACAGACACCACAGCCGGGGGCCAGCACTGCCTCAGGGGCATCGCAAATCACAGCAGAGGCCAGCGAGATGCCCCCCAACTGCAGACATGGCGTCAAACATCCAGGAGGCCCAGCTGGCGTCATCACTCATGGGCACTTCCAGGGGCTCTGGTGGGACTCTCAGCTAAAGAGTTAGGCTGAGCTCTAGTCCCTGGAGACTCCTAACACCTGAAATAGCCTTGCCAAGGCCATCGGCCACTTGGCCTGGTCCTGGGAGCTGTGGCAGACATGAGCTTTGGCTGCCCAAGGAGGGCCAGATCGGCCCCCGAAGGCCTTTTCTAGCCACCCAAGGGCCCAGGAAACAATGTACCATGGCCTGTGGATAGGCAGGCACCAGGGATGCCCAATCATCAGGGCCTCCTATGGACCCACTTACCCTGCCTGGTGGTGGCCTCTCAGGTCTGGAGGAGGCCCAGGACAGAGAAGAAGACAATGTTCTCGCCCTCTAGATTACTATGTTCTGGTGTAATCAAATGTCTGTGTATGCATGTGGACAGAGTGCCTCCACATGGTGGTATGTCCGTGTTTGGTGTCAGCGGCATGTTTGTGTATGTGTGTCCCAGTATGTTCACATGTCTGGATACATGTGTGTGTACATGTGTGGGCATATGTCAAGTGGAGCCTGCCTTAGCTCGGAGGCAGCTCTGGATAGGCAGGAGGAAGGGCAGGGATAAGTCAAGGATGCTTTGTAATAAAATCAGCTTCTACCTGGCAGCTAGTGTGTCTCCATACACCCCAACCATACACCCCAACCATACACCCTAAACCCAGGTAAGCTGAGACTCTTAGACGGCATCCCAACACTTCCTTAGAGTAGATTGCAGCAGCCACACTGTGGAGGCTGGCGGACAGCAGAGCACGATGCAAGGCCAGGGCTGGCCTGTGCTTCCTGGGCAGGAGAGGCAGCCTACCATGGTGGGAACACTCCCTGGGGGCACTGGAGGGCAAGGTGGCAGGGGAAGGGCCAGGACATACCCACTGGAAGGGGAAGGTGCGCCCACCTCTGGCTCTGGCTCTGACCCCAGGGACCCCACTTACCAACTCCAGCCCCTCCTCACCAGTTGGCATCTGCCCCACTCCCACTAGGGGATACAACATAGGCCAGAGAAGGGTGGATGGGCCAGGGAGTTGGAACTGAGAATTCAGGAGTCCCTTTTTGCCAAAGAAGTCCCAGGCTCTCCATCAGGCCCCTGGGGCCCATCCAAGTCCAAGTTTCTTTCTTTTGAGAAAAACGGGAGCTACTTCACTTAAGGCTTCCCCTCGTGAGGGCAGGGGGCCCAGAGACACACTCCCCAGCAGAGGCAGAGCAGAGTGAGGCATGTGAGCCAATGAGCAGGCAGTGGGCACAAGCGGCAAAGGTTTATTAACAGTGAGTGATCGAAGTAGCAGGAGATGGGGTCCCGTCAGCCCGAGGCCCTGTGGGGCAGGAAGTGGGGCAGAGCTCAAGCAGGAAGGGAAGAAGGAGTTAATTCTGCTCTTTAGGGGTCACAGCCAGCAGGCAAGGGAGTTGGGGGGCCCCAGTCCAGTGCCCACCTTGCTGCCTATGGAGCCTCCCCAGGCAGCATTTGCATAGTGACCAGCCGACTGGCCGCGGCCTGACCAAGGGCCCACTGTTGGGGAGGGGACCAGCCTCTGTCCCGGGGCTCCTTCAGAAAAGGGATGCAAAGGCATTGGAGGGCCCCACAAAATGAGCTGAGGGCTCCCTGGACCCATCAGAGGGCCCTGCCCTAGGGGGAGGCTGGTGAGGTGGCAGAGAACTACAGGGGCCTCCCCCAGCAGAGGGCAGAGTCAAGGTCAAAATGGTCCTCGAGAGTCCACAGAGAAAAGACGCGAGACAAAGTCAGAACGAGGTCATTGTAGAAAATCCACTCAGTCCATAACAAAGAACAGCAGATTCAGGGGTGGAAAGTGCCAAAGTTGCTTTATGCACAGGCTCTGGGTCGAGTACCGGGAGAAGGTGCCTCTGGAGGAGGCAGGGATGGGTCTGGGGCCATCTGGCACGGGGGGCCTCCTGGCCAGCCACATGGCCTTGAGACGCCAGCGTCCGGCTAGGGCTGAGGACCCAGGCCAGAGCCCCACCCACCCAGCACCCTCAAAACCCAGCCTGAATGCTGGGGTCATTGTGAGGTACTCGGGTTGGTTCCCTGGATGGGCTGCCCCTCCTGCCCCAGGAAGGTGCTGGTGGCCAGCCACCAGCCTAGGGCCTAGAGAAGGGGGGTCTGGGGTGTGTATAAGGGACCCAGCTTGCAGGTCAGTGTTCTGGGGCAGTAAAGGTGAGGGCACGAGGTGACACAGGCCCTGAAGGCAGAGGGCACAAGGTGACACAGGCCTTGAGAAGGGTTTGTGATATGAGCAACCCAGGCCCCGGAAAAGGGGCCACCGGAAGACAGAGAGTCCCCAGGTGGGGTGAGGGGCACCAGAGGATGCAGCATGCCCCAGGGAAACGTGGGGCTTCAAAAGACTCAGTGCTGGGGTCACTCTCCCATCCCCGGGGATCCGGGTAGCTGGAAGGAGGGAGAGCAGGCGAGCAGGGACTCCAGGAACACCTGGGTGTGGGGACTGTCGGGAAATGGGCCCATGGTTGCCACCGGCAGGGCCGTGGCTGGGAGGGGGCCAGGGTCCTCAAGGGCATGCAGGGCACCTGGGCCGGGCGGGCGGGAACCAGGGCAGGGGTCCCGCGGCTGCCCGGCCTGCCCGGCCCTAGCTCTCCTCTAGATGGAGGCTAATGAACTCCTGGATGCACCTGCGGTACTGGAGCTCTGTGGGGCTGCTGCCTGGCAGGGGGCCCGGCTGACCCGGGGGGGCCTCAGCTTCACGCATCTCTTCTGCCATACGTGCCAAACGGAGCCTGTGGGAGAGGCTGGGTGTGAGACACCTCCCCCACCTTCTCATCTCCCCCATCGGCTCTTCCACGCCACCCCACCCCACGGGAAGACCTTGCCCCTACTGCAACCAGGCCCCCAGGGCTCAGCCGAGCTCACAGCGTGACGATGTCCGCGTTGGCCGCCTGCACTGCGATGGTCAGTGGGTCCTGTTGCTCTTCATCCAGGGCGTGCTGGTCAGCCCCCCGCTTTAAAAACAGGCAGACCTGGCTGAGGGACATAGGAGGTAAGTCAGACAGGCCCAGGGCACCACAGGTAGTGAAGGTGTCAGTAACTTACCCAGTGCGGCCCAGGAGCGTGGCATGGTGTAGGGGTGCCCGGCCACGGCTGTCTCTTTGGTTCACGTCTGCTCCATTTTGCAGAAGGAATTCACAGACAATCAAGGAGCCCTAGGGAACCGAGGCAACTCAGGCTGAGATGAGGAAATGGCCCTTCACAGGGTCCCTGTACCCCAATCCCCACCCTGGGTACCCCCACCAAGAACCAAGCCAGGTCTCCACTGAGGACAAGAAGCCCTTGTCGGGGGGTACCACAAAGGAGTGCGTTCGGAGGACGTAAAAGTGTCCAGGGTACACCCATGATCTGCATCCAACACCCACGCATGCTCACCCCGAGCACGGCCTGCACCAGCGGTGTCTTGCCCTCGTCTTCCGCATCTGCCCAGTTAACCTCAGCCCCGTGGGCCAGGGCTGCAGCCAATGCAGGGAGGTCACGGGTGCGTGCTGCACGGTGTGCCAGGAGCCCGGGATGCAGCTCACGAACATCAGCCAGGCCCCAGGCCTCACTGTCGGCCTCTGCATCCCCATCTACCTCACCGCTGGAAGACTCTGACTCTGGGCCCTCTGCAAGGAGAGGGGAGTTCAGGGTTGGTGATCCTGGCAGAGAAGGGGAAAGTACCCCAGGACTGGGGAGGGGCTGCAGCCGAGCAGAGGAGATGCACACCCACCCTCTTCAGTAACGCTGTCCACCACGGAGCCCGCGCCGAAGGCCAGGACATCTGAGCTGCCATCAGAGCTGCCCCCGAGGCCGCTGTCGCTGCTCAGACCTGTAGGGCCCACAGGCGAAGGGGGTCCTGAGCTAGAGGTTCCTGACTCCTCCTAGAACCCTGGAGGAAGGCTGGAACTCCACCCACCCTTCAGTGGACACCCCAAAGGGCAGAATCTGCTCTTACTAAGGAGTAGAACGTGAACCCTACCCAGGTTGGGAAGAAAGGAGATAGAACCAAGTAATAGCTCAAAGAAGGCCAGGGTAAGCCCACAGAGGTGCACACTCCCACATGGAAGTCCACTCTGCTGGTAAGCAAGATGGCAGAGCACAGCAGGGTGCATTCAGTGGACCTTCACCCCAGAAGGCCCCGAATCAGCACTGGGGTCTTCAAGAAGTCCTGGAGACTCCCGCCCCAGAGCAACTCTCTCCACTTCAGAAGCAAATAAGGTTTAAGAGCAGTGCAGCAGCGCCCTCTGCTGCCCGCAGCCATCCCTTTTTTTTTTTTTTTTTTTTTTAATAATTTTTTTCAATAACCTTGGTCCCGG